TTGGGGTAAAAGTCAGAGAAAAGAAAGGTCGGACGAGGCGGCTTGAAAATGCTCGTTTTGGAAGGATTTTGTGGTAGAAAGGAGCCGATAGATTACCAAGTAAAGGTCGATCAAAAATCACGAAATTTTCTTGCTTCCGATGATTTTTTCGCAATGAAAATTTGGTATGTAGAAAATCAATACTTTTAAAAGCTGTTTTGATTGAAAACAGAATTCCACTAGGCGAATTTATTCTCGCGAATCGAAAGCGTCTGTTCATACGCATGCGCATTCACACTTCTATCGGGTTTTTCCACTAGGCGCATTTATTCGCGAAAATCAAAGCGTCGGTTCGCTTTCTGAGTTCTGATTGGTTGCGCTTTTTTTTTCTTAAGCAAAAACTCCGATAGAAATGTGAATGCTCATGTGCATGAGCCGACACTTTCCATTCGCGCGAATAAATTCACCTGGTGGAAAACAGGCTTCATATTATTATATTATTCACCAACAGAGCCAAGAAAATTTATTGTTTTGTATACAGACATTTTACCAATAAAAATGTCCTTTAATAAATTACCGTGCTATGAAGGCTTTATGCACAAGAATATACAGCAACTGTTCGTTAAGTGACAGGGAGACTTAATTGTATGATAATAAAAAAAAAAGTACACAAAAATAAATAAATAAAGAAAAAAACAAATTAAGCATTTCAATTATAAACCTGAACTGACAAGGTACATCTTAAATATTGAAAAAAAAACACAAAATACATACCGGTACTGATGATTTCACACTTGGGTCCAGCAGTACCACGACGACATGAACAGTAGTACCTCTCAACACCATCAATACGTCGGTGTTGGCCCCAATAACAATGCCCATTATTCTGACACGGGTTAGGTACACAAGGATCGTTAATAGGCCAAATAGGCCAATCTGTTTAAATATGAAGATATAATTGATTTGATAATTTATAGATGAAGAGACAATAGAATGTTACTTATTTAGATGTCTCTGGACATTATTAAGGAAGAGAAATGTATTTATTTTAAACATTGTGGTTTCGATCTGTCGACTGCCACAGTTAAAAAAAAAAAATGTTATTTCCCCTACCCCTTATTTCTTATAATTGACCTGTAGGCCTATAGTCTGATTTTTCATTCATTTTTATTTTTTCAAAAAAGGGTTTCAAAATGCCCGGCACAATGGTATGCATATGCTATGTTTTAGATTCTTGGCATGTTTTGTGCCAAGAATACCATAAGTGCCATATGTACTCTGTATATAAGTCGACCATCATTATTCTTATTTAAGATTTTGTTTTGTTATATCTTTCAGCAAGTGTAAAACTCCGAAAAAATTAATACAAGTCAACGTGATTCAATATTTCAAGCTTGATTTGTTCAACTGCAGAATTCATACTATCTGATCTTTTAGCAAGAATTTTAATTTAGCTTGCTACCATCGGACATGAAAAAACATCATTGTGGACAGCTGCTTCAATATATACAAAATGCTGGTTTATGCACGCTAACACACAAGGTTTTTGTGAATATTGTTTTATATACAATAATATACTCTAGTGATGCTTTAGTATAATAGGCCTACATTATGGACAAAAATGCTGATTTATACAGGAATGTAAGGGAATTGATAACAGGCTTAGTGTAAAAACCCAATTAACACAAACAAAAGCGTCTCGTATAAAAAATAAACGATATTGGAAGTAACGCAAGCTCACGTTATATTTCTGAGAATTACATTAATAATTTACCGAGATTATCGCGTCACCGTTACGATCAAAACCAACAGACAGCAGAAATATAAAACTAGAAGAGGCCTAGGACGTAGATATTATACCTCCATTGATAGGCCTAGGCTTTGGCTTACTCAGAAAAATTACGAAGGAAAAATTAAAAATCGAAAACAATTTTTATGAATTTTTGTTAGGCCTAATTATATCTTTTTTACAGTTAGTCTTTAAAATTATCATTTCTTATATCGCTTTAGTATTAAGATTATTAATTAAAACTGTCTAGGACGACAGACAGATATCGGTCTACAGTCTTCAGTGTTAGCGAAATACAAAAAAAAATATTGAACTTCATATTAGTACCTTTATCTGATACAAATGTGAGCAGTTGTCCTAGGTCTATATGTTATCTATTTTAATATTGAATTATCTGGAACTTTGGTGGAACAGTATATCCATTGTATGTGACGAGAAACGTAAAAAAAAAAAAGCAAAAACAATTTTCTCCAGCTAGCAGTTAACATGCACTGCTCTCACCCCTTTCTACCGATGAAACACATGTTTTGATGCGGCACAAATCTAGACTCTATTCTATTTCAATGTTGATTAATCTCGAAGTTTAGTAAAAAAATATATTTATTATATATGATTATCACGCTCTTTAAAAAAAGTATTTTATTGTATACTGTAAAATATTGTTTTCTCTGTGTTTTCCCTAGATTGCTGTTCAATGTATTGCTTTCACCCCTTTTCAAACAGCGAAGCACATGTTTTGTTGTGTCGTTGATTAACCATGGGCTCTACCATTTCATATGGGTTATTAATTTTATAATAATTTTTCAAAATAATTAAATTTAAAATGTATAATCATTAAATCGTTTTTAAACGCTTGAATGTACCAAATGACTATGTTATTTTACTACATGGATTTTAATTTCATTTATAAAACGCACTGGTAATGTATAAAAGTAGTTTTCAATTGTTGATGGCCACGGCGTATCAAGTGGACTTGGAACGTCTTCCTTGCAGTGTACTGCATCGCGCCGGCTGGAAGTTTAGGGCCTGTGGTTTTGACATACTATGTTCTATCAAAGTAAAAGTTAGGCGCTTGACTCTGGTCCTGTACTCAATGGGCTATGGGATATTTACTGAATTACGATCTCTTAACATATTATCATTATTTCATTCTTTAAATTTCTTTTTCTATCCACTGATTTATTGTCTATAATTTGTTCCGATATAATAGTTGGGAATAACCTTGCATTTAAAATATATTATGGTAGGCCTATATAAAAAATAAGTGTACAAAAATAGGCCTATTATTTGTAGTCCTATTCATAATAAAGTACAGTGACCGCCAATAAATACTCAACATATACGATGAATATCAGAATTTAGTGCAGTAGGCTAAGCTAGGGTGGCATTATTTTTTCCCCATTTATTTTCATTCATTCTCTGTAGGTCATTTTGAAAACAGACACTAAATAAAAGTATTGTGTTTAGATCAGATTATCATACAAGCATATACAAGCGACTGTTGTACACACACACAGTAGATCTTGATCACTAATTAGGTATATGTTCATGTAATAAACTGTTTACGCTTAATTTATATTCTACTGAATGAGCTTGTTTGATTTTTAATTTCTGTTTGTCACTTCCTTGTTGTCTTTATTGTAATTAATTTATTTGTATCGTACCAAATCCATTTTCAAATATATATAACAAATATAAAATATAATTGAAAATGAGACTTAAAGAAAATAATAAATACAGGATTTAATTGCACACAAAAATTCAGAGACTGATATTTTCTTAGGTTATTCTATGCTTTTTCATGGTAACGTCGAGTCGTTATCACTGGGCGCCCGTACAAAGGGTATGGCTGACTATGCATAAATCGACCCGCAGCAACATCAATGACCCTTAATAGTCAATTTCCATAGCAGCAGAACCGTGGGATTGTTCCTATAAATAGTTCTAGAAGAAGCAGGTACTGGCATTAACTGTCACTAACTGTCACTGCGAATTTATTCCTCCATGCTCATGGCAACAACATGAGTTTGGCCTAGTTATAACTCTGGGCGGCGTACAAAAGGTTTGAGCTATGCATAACTCGGCCGGCAGGCGATTTTTTTTCCCGTAAGAAACATTTGCATGAAACTTCACTCGGGCCATCTCGGATTGACTCGATTCGAGTTCGATACGAAGAACAAGAGCAGACACTTCGCAATGTCGTGACCCTCGAGTTATACTTTTATTGCTTTTTCTATGTTTACCTACGGTAGGCCTATCAAATCTTACGGATTTATAGGATGTACGTGTGTAACTAACTGTGACCTTCTTGTATGTTATTAAATGCTAGTATAATATCTACAACAACAACAGCTAGTACCCGCCTTTATAAAGTGTAGATAGGACGTACACCAAAGGCTGACAGAAAGAAGATAAACTACAGGCCTAATGCAGGCTGAGTTAAGTCCTACCTACCATAGGCCCTCCCTGAACTAGGCCTAGGTCCCTAGGCTAGGGTCCTAGGTTGACACCAACAGTCACGCTTCACATGACGTTGATTAACATTTTGAAAAAAAGGGGGGAAAATTGAAGCATGAAATAAAAAATAGAGTGCTTAAGAGAATTATTAAATAATACCGTAATAAATAAAATATACCATTCCGGCGTTATTGAACTTGGCCAAACTATCCTTGTAATGTAATTAATGTTAAATAATAACAATAATAATAATAACAATAATAATAATAATAATAATAATAATAATAATAATAATAATAATAATAATAATAATAATAATAATTTCAGCATTAATATCTTGGCCTAA